GATCAGAAAGGATGGTAGAGATTGGGTAACCCTCCAGTCTAGAGGTTCTATGGCATAATTGCCTGTAAAAATCAGCTTTGACACTTCGATAGAAGGTATTTATCAGAAAAATATATTTAGCTTGAATTTTTAATAACAATGCTGCAGGGCCGACTTTTTAAATGACCAGTGTGCATCTTGGATAGTTTCCCAAATTAGGGATTGCCAAAAATCAAATCAAATACTTATCTCAGCAAAAATTATAAATGCTGCCACTCAATGCAAGCAGTGGTAATAATAGGTTGACTGCATAATGTCCACCGAGCAAAGATTTTGACAGATTAAAAAACATCAAGTTACTATTTTTGTATGCAAAATCTCATATTTGGTTTTTAATGCTATTTTGTGCTAATCACGTTCTTATGCTTACCTCAAGCTTTCTTGAGTGTCTACAGGATTTACAGTATGAATAATGGAAGACTACCTGATGTATAAATATATTTTTTTAACACATCTCATAGCTATCCCATTTTTTACTTAAAGTAAACATACCATGGGACACACAAATAGGATAAACTTTCAACTGTACATTTTGGTAGCATAATTGTTAGCAAATGTATAGAAAAAAGGTTACTGCAACCAAAGAGGGAGGAAGGAAGGAGGGCGGGAGGGAGGAAGGAAGGGAGAGAAGAAGGGAGGGAATGAAGGAAGGAAGGAAGAAAGAAAGAAAGAATGGGAGAGAGGGAGAGAGGGAGAGAAGGAAGGAATAGTATTACATTTAAAACAGAAAACTCCAACTTGGGACCTGATTAAACATTTTTGAAGATTTTCAGAATAATTTAATACTAAGAAAAATATTTTTATAATTTGATATACTTATTTTAATTATTTTTAAAAATCCATTATTGGGGGGTGTGGTGACATTCTGTCATCAAACTAATATGGTGACTGTAACGGACCATTTTGCCCAAAAGAGTTTAAAAACCGTTTAGGCGATAATCCCCTTCCAGATAGACCAGCAGCTACTGCAATCACCAACCTCCCGAACTCCAAACTGCACGTATTCACCAACTCTCAAACAGCAGACACACGAACCCTGGAAGCAGCCGAACAGGGTTTGTGTGTTTGCTTACACTCCTGGCAATCGGCATACAGTCAAATTCCCCCCAAGAATGACACGACACTTCACTTTGAGGGTTAAAACAGGAACAACACTGCTGGCACACCCAGCCTGGTTTTTATTACAGTCTTGCACATACAGGACCGCCCACAGGGAGGTATAAAATAACCAATCAAATAACAGTTACAACCCACAATGCATCACAATCCCTCCTCCCTGGCCTGGAGATAATTGGAGAAGTAATCCAATTATCTCCAAGGACAGAGGCAAACTCCATTACACACATGGCAGACAAAAGACAGTAAAATACAATAAAATACACAAGGTTACATTTATACATAAAATACAGACATTCTACCTATCCCCAGATAGCTTAGATCTGAGCGCACGTTATTACCGGATGGCGCTCAGATCACATACATACAGTTCAATCGCCATGGAGCCAAAGTCTTTCATACAGTCTTTCAGTATACGGCTGGGCTCCATGGCATAGCTATCTGGGGTAGCATGGCTTTAACAGTCCGCAGAAAGGCACAAACCAGGGAAAAAGAACAGGGGCCATAGTCTAAAGGTAAGAGGCGGGCAAGCAGCCCCCTCCAAGGACACGTGGCAAGGTCGGTTTCGCCACAGTGACCAGGGATCATGTGACCAAGCTCATGTATGCCTTTCTTACAGAGGGATAAGCTTTACCTTTTGATATGGTAATTGGGACCTTTTACAAGTCAGGAAAGAGATAACCACTTCCCCCTATCTCCATTCCTCTCTGTTCCTTCTTGGCTGTGCTACTGAGCAGTCCCTTAAGCAGACATGGCCTAATTTCTATCTTGGTGAACTGTGAGTGGGATTTTATAAGATGTAGTTGTTATTGTTAGTTAGGTTGTTGTTGCTGTTGTTGGTGGTATAGTTAGTTAGATTGTGTCATTATTTGTATGTTGTTGTTGTTTTGTCTCTCAATAAATATTTGTTAAAGTAGACGGACCAGAGTTTATATGTGTATGCGTACATAATAATTTATAGAGTTTGGTGATACACTACAGAGGGGAGGAGAGGGCGAAGCCAACTGGTGAACAGAGATGACGCACAGCCCTGAGCTCTGTACCCTAACCGGCTAAAATCGAGAAAAATACTGAGAATAAGGTGGAATTGGGGAAAGTGAACTGCACCGGATCCCACACCTCACCATGGAGCAGACATGGGCTGGAAAACTAAAAGAATCCCAAGCTGACCCTACTACTGGGGACATCGCGAGATGTTGCGTCACACACAACAGGCTGCGTGGGCCAAGATGGCGCTGAAGGAGGAAATATCTTCTTAGTTTTCTGAGGAAGCATCCATCTACCTAGAAGAGGGGGCAACATGCAGCCGACTGGCAAAGCCTAAACGCAAACCCCCAGAGACAGGAGTACCGGTCACAGCCGACTTGCTCAAAAGTATGCTGGCCGAATTGCGTAAAGATATCGCAGCCAACATAGCCCACTATGAGGGCGCCATTGAAGGGGCTACTGTGAAGATCATGCAACTTGAGGCCTCTACCAGCACTCAAGATGCAAGACTGACGGTAATAGGACAACAGGTGGCTGATCGGCAGCACCAGCAGCTCAACATCAAGGAGCGGGTGGATGCATTAGAATAGCAGAAAAGGAGGTACAACCTCAAAATCAGGGGCATTCCTGACATGGTGTCAGGCCGTATCTGGTCCGGCTCCGTTCCGGCATTGCCGGTATGCGGAACTGGCTCCGCCCCCTTTCTGATGCGGCTCTCTCACGCTTTATAGAGAGACCGCACCAGATTCAAGGTGCTTGGTGATTTCGGATGTTACTTCCGCAGTCAACGCCGGCTAAGCTTCTCTTCGTTCCTAACGTGTACCGAACCTTGGATTGTTGTAACACTTCCGCAGTCAACGCCGGCTAAGCTTCTCTTCGTTCCTAACGTGTACCGAACCTTGGATTGTTGTAACACTTCCACATTCAACGCCGGCTAAGCTTCTCTTCGTTCCTAACATGTACCGAACCTTGGATTGTTGTAACGGACTTTTGCCTTCTCATTGCCCTCTGACCACGGACCATATTGGATTTACTGGATCTCTACTTATTTCCTTGAAACCGGACTGGTTATGTCAAACATCCTTTGGATTCAATCTATTCAGTTCCATGGAGGACAACTCCCATCAATCTTAAGTATACAATTTACTTCTATCGCTGAAGCTTTACTTATTAATGAGCTTTTACTTACTTGCTATAACCTGAGTTTACTAAAATATTATTGCAATCATTAAAGCCTTTTCTTTTCCACTAATTGCCTGCAACCTCCACCTTGCTTTAAAGCTACAGTAACCTTATTAATTTAAAGGATTTCTCCTCTTTTTGCTATTGTAATAAAGGAGTTTTACAAGCTGCAGTTGAGTTCCAAATCCAAAACCTCTTGTGACATAACAGAATCACCAAGCCATAAACATGGAACCAGCAGATGTGAATTCCCAAATTATCTTTTTAACCCAAAGAGTAGACTCTGTTCAAAATACTGAAATGTCTTCATTGTTTAAACAATTAAAGACAAACCTTGAAAGTTCTATGGTCTTGCATAAAAAGAATTATGATATTGTTGTAGAATTATTAGGCCTCTATAAATCTTTAAGGCCCCTTTAAATCCTCTTGCTATACCTCTAAGAGGCCCCATAGTTTTACAAGAAAGCTTTGTCTATAGAATATAGAATTTGCATGTCAGCAAGAAATATTATGCACCTGTAGTGTGAAACACTGTAGCGTCCCACTTACAATGATAGCT